GGGTTATTGATCTGGATTACTCACTGCTGTGAAAGTGTTGTCATTCCTGGTAGTTAGGGCAGACATTCCCCGACACAATCAGGGAGTCCAATTGTTAAAACCCTCATCAGAGTGAATTGGAATAATGTACCTATGCAAAGGAATGCACTGAATGGGGTTTGAGAAGTGAAAAAAAAAAGTAACTATAAGGACAGTGAACTGGATGCCTTACTGCTAAGCATCAATGACCTAGAAAACAATAACTCAAAGCTACAGATAATTGTAACTCATGTGTGAAAGCCAAAAAGCCTCTGCAGTAGCTTAGAAAGAGGCTCTTACAACACTGTAGCTGGAGAGTCTAGAAAACTGAGGACCAAGCCCAAGAATTAATAGAGTGTTCAAGCTCTACTGAAGGATAAGCAGCTAATGAAAGCAGATCTTTCTGGCAACGTAAAGCCTGAATTAGGGAGTTAAGAAAGAAAGAAAGAAAGAAAGAAAGAAAGAAAGAAAGAAAACAAATGCTGACACTTGGAATAAGAACAGCTGGGAATATCCCTCTGATGTCTTACCTCTAGCTGACATTGAGGCTCTACATAAGTAGGAATTGAAGGCTAAGGCAGAGTTGTAAATTGCCAGAGTGTTTAAGTCCTACCACAGTATACACACAGAACCCATTGGAAAAGGGTGGGAGACTTATTGGTTCAAGGCATTTTAAAAAATATCTCTCCAATCAACAGCTCATCACTGAGCTGCTATCTGGGTAAAACTTTCAATGGCCAGACATGACAAAGAATACAAATGTTACAATACAAAGTTAGTTTAGGGAAATCACTAAACAAGTAACTAGTAACAACACCAACTAGTAACAACAACAAATCCTGGGGAGAGGGAAATTTTAATTTGAGGAGTTGTACATTATATTATTTAAAATATCCAATTTTCAACAACAGCAACAAAATATGATAAAGAGACAAGAAAGTATGACTGATATGTAAGGAAAAAAAACAGTCAATAGAAACTGTCACCGAGGAGGCTCAGATATTGGACTTACAGACAAATAATTTATATCAGCTATGTTAAATATATTCAAGAATTAGAGAAACCCATTTCAAAAGAACTAAAGTATAATAACAATGTTTCAACAAATAGAGCATTAACAAAGAGATATAAATTATTTTTTTCTTAAAAAAAATGAACCAAATAGAAATTCAGTAGTTGAAAAGTACAACAATAAAATGAAAATTTCACCAGAGATGCTTAACAAGCAGGGTTGTGGGATCGAGCCCCATGTTGGGCTTTGTGCTGGACATGAAACCTGCTTAAGATTCTTTCTCTCTACCCTTCTCTCCAGTTCACTCTCTCTCTCTCTCTCTCTAAAAAAAAAAAAAAAAGAAAAAAGAAAAAAAAGAAAACAAATAGCACAACAGAAGATGTAGATCCTCTCTTATTAGTAATTACATTAAATGTAAATGAATTGAACACTATAGTCAAAAGGCAAGGATTTGCCTAGTGCATAAAAAACACTATTCAACTCATATTCAGAGACACAAATAGGTTGAAAGTTAAAAAATTAAAAATTTGAGGGGAGACTAGATGGCTCAGTCAGTTAAGCCTCTGACTCTTGATTTGGCTCAGGTCATGATCTCACGGTTCATAAGTTTGAGTCCTGCACTGGGCTCTGCACTGATAGTGCAGAGCCTGCCAGCCTGCCTGGGATTCTCTCTCTCTCTCTCTCTCTCTCTCTCTCTCTCTGACCCTCTCCCACTCAGGCTCAGTCTTTCTCTCAAAAATTAATAAATAAAAACATTAAAAAAAAGAAAAATTTGAGATGCATACATGCTTACATATATTTTGCTGTTGTTAGATGTAATGTTCTACAGATGGCTAGTAAATCAAGTTGGCTTATAATGTTTTTCAATTCTTCTTCCTTATAGATCTTCCACCTAGTTTTTCTATCCACTGTTGAAAGGGGAGTATTAACTGCTATCTATTTTTCCCTTTAATTCTATAAGTTTTTGCTTCATATATTTCTGAGCTCTGACATTAGGTTATGGCTTCTTGATGCATTGATTCTTGTATCATTTTTAAATGTCCTTCTTTGCTTCTAGTAATAATCTTACTGCAAAGCTATAATAATCAATACAGTGGATACTCACAGAAGAATAGACATATCAATAAATGGAATAGAATTGAGATTTCATACATAAACCCATACATCTGTGGCCAATTGATTTTTGACAAGGATACCAAGTCCATTCAATGGGGAAAGAATTGTCTCTTCAATAGTTGGTCCTGAGATAACTGGATGAGGTTAGACCCCTACCTCATACCATATACGAAAATTAATTCAAAATGAATTGATGACCTACATATGAGAGCTAAAATCTTAAAACTCTTAGAAGGAAACAGGAGTAAATATTAGCACCCTTGGGTTAGACTACAACTTTCTAGACATGACATTAAAACCAGAAGTGACAAAAGATAGATAAGTTGAACTTCCTTCAAAGTTAAAAAAAAAAACAACTTATGTGCTTCAAAGGACACAACCAAGAAAAGTCACTTGAGGGGTGCCTGGGTGGCTCAGTTAAGCATCCAACTCCTGACTTTGACTCAGGTCATGATCTCATGGTTGTGAAATCCAGCCCTGCATCAGGCTCCATGTTGACAGCGTGGAGCCTGCTTAGGATTCTCTCTCTCCCTCTCTCTCTGCCCCTCTCATGCTTGTGCTCTCTCTAGCTCTTTCTCAAAATAAATAAATAAACATTAAAAAAAAAAAAAGAAAAGTCACTTGAAAATCACTTGGAGAAAAAAAGAAAACAGGAAAATCATTTGAAAAGACACTCCACAGAACATACGAAAATATTTGCAAATAATATATCTGATAATGGGCTTGTATCCAGAGTGGATGAAGAATTCTTACAATTCAACAATTTATTTTATTTTTGTATTATTATTTTAAAAAAAATTTTTTTTTCAACGTTTATTTATTTTTGGGACAGACAGAGACAGAGCATGAACGGGGGAGGGGCAGAGAGAGAGGGAGACACAGAATCAGAAGCAGGCTCCAGGCTCTGAGCCATCAGCCCAGAGCCCGACGTGGGGCTCGAACTCATGGACCGCAAGATCGTGACCTGGCTGAAGTCGGACGCTTAACCGACTGCACCACCCAGGCGCCCCATATTTTTGTATTATTTTTTTAATGTTTATTCATTTTTGAGAGACAGAGAGAGAGACAGAGCATGAGTGGGGAAGGGGCAGAGAGAGAAGGAGACAGAGAATCCGAAGCAGGCTCCAGGCTCCAAGCTGTCAGCACAGAGCCTGACACAGGGCTTGAACTCACAAACCGGGAGATCATGACCTGAGCCAAAGTCAGGTGCTCAACCGACTGAGCCACCCAGGCACCCCTAATTCAACAATTTAAAGACAAATTACCTAGTTTTAAAATGGACCTCATATTTGAAAATATATTTCTAAAAAGACATACAAATGGCTAACAAGCTCATGAAATGTTGAATTAACTCCATAATTAGTCATTAGCAACATGTAAAACAAAACCACAATGAGATATCACTTCCTACCCACCAGGATGGTTACAATCAAAAAGGATAAAAAGTGTTGGTGAGGATGCAGAGAAACTGGAACCCTTCTACACTGCTGGTGAGACTGGCATTTCCTCAAAATGTTAAATAGTTATTACTAGTCACAGCAATTCTACTCCAAGATACATAACCAAGGGAATTGAAAACATATACTCACATAAAACTTGCACATGAAAGTCCACTGTAGCATCATCATTCATAATAAACAAAAAGTAGAAACAACCTAAATGTTCCTCAATTAATGTTTGGGTTAAAAAAAAAATAGTATAATCGGGTGCCTGGGTGGCTCAGACGGTTAAGCGCCGGACTTTGGTTCAGGTCATGATCTCACAGATTGTGGGTTCAAGCCCCGTGTCAGGCTCTGTGCTGACAGCTCAGAGCCTGGAACCTGCTTCGGTTTCTGTGTCTCCCTCTCTCTGCCCCTCGCCCACTTGCCCTCTGTCTCTCTCTGTCTCTCAAAAATAAATAAAAGCTAAAAAAAAATGTTTAAATAGTATGTTCATAAAAAGTAATAGTAATTGACAATGAAAATTCATGAAGTACTGATACATACCGCAACATGGATAAACCTTGAAAACTGCCAAATGAAGGCAGCAAATCACCAGAGGTCCCATATCGTCTGACTCCATTTATGCGAAATGGCCAAAATAGGCAAATCCATAGAATCAGAAAGTAGATTAGTGGTTTCCAGGGAGTAGGAGAGGAGAAAATGGCACTACTGATAATGGGTATGGGGTTTCTTTTTTGGGTGATAAAAATATTTTGGAATTAGATGGCTGTGATGGTTGCACAACTCTCCAAGTATACGAAAAAACAGTTAATTATACATGTTAGAGAGTGAATGTTATGGCATATGCATTATATATCACTAAATATTATGTTTTTTAACATAATATAGAGAAAATCTTATCATCTCACAAGTGTAGAAAATGCATTTGATAAAATTCAAAAACTACTCATGATTTTCTTTTTTTTAAGTTTATTTATTTTTGACAGAGACAGAGTGCGAGCATGAGCTGGGGAGGGGCAGAGAGAGAGGGAGACACAGAATCCCAAGCAGGCTCCAGGCTCTAAGCTGTCAGCACAGAGCCCGACGCGGGGCTCGAATCCACGAACTGTGAGATCATGACCTGGGCTGAAGTTGGATGTTTAACCGACTGAGCTACCCAGGCGCCCCAACTATTCATGATTTAAAAAAAAAAAAAACAAAAAACCTTAGCAAACCAGAAATAGAAAGGACTTACTTCCTTAATCTGACACAGATATCCATAAAGTCTTTCTGCAAAGATTATAATTAAAGGTGAAATATTGAAACCTTTCTCTGACAGAGGAAAAACAGAAAGCATAATGATTAGAAAGGAGAAAATAAACTGCCATTTGTAGATGACATAATGTGTACTTAGAAAATCCAAATGAGAGTTATAAAAATCAATATGTGATTTATTTCTACACAAACAGAAAAAAAAATTTTTTGAGTTTCTATTTACAATGACATCAAAAATATCAAATACCCATGAATAAATCTAAGGGAAGATGTGTAATATCTTTCTGGTTGAAATTACCAAACATTTTTGACAAAATTTAAGGAGTAAGTCATTAAAATACTTAATTAAAGATTATCATAGTATATCATTTTGATGGTTTGGAGGCCTCAATGTTGTAAAGCAATTCTCCCCAGTTTGATTTATGGATTTAATACAATCCCAATTCAAAACAAAACAAAAGGAAACAAAAGGCATTTGTGGCAACTGCAAGGTGATTTGAAAATTTACATAAAATGGAAGGGCCAAGAATAGGCAAACCATCTTTAAGAAGAAAAAGGCTGAAAGACTTACACTATTAAATTTAAAGACTTATTATAAAATTACAGTGGTCCAGACAGAGTGGTATTGGCTTAATTCTATGTCAGATGGAGGGTCTAGATATATATGTACATATAATCAATCACTTGACTGATAACAAAGGTGACATTACAGTGCAGAGGGGAAAGACAGTACTCCAAATAAATAAAGGGCAGTGGGGTCAATTAAATATATGTGCAGGAAAAAAAAAAGTTAATCCATAGCTCACACCATACACAATAATTAGTTCCAGAATATTTTAGGTATAAACGTTAATACTGAAACAATAAAGCTCCAAGAAGAAAACATGGGGGGTGGGGTGGGGGAAAGCTTCTATGTTTTGATGTAGGCAAAGATGTCTTATATAAGATATCAAAAATGAATCACAAAATAAAGGGTTGATAATATGGACCCATTAAAATTACAACCTTCTAGGGGCGCCTGGGTGGCGCAGTCGGTTAAGCGTCCGACTTCAGCCAG